GTAAGTCACTTAATCTTTCTGGGTCTCAATTTCCCCTCTGTAAAATGGAGATACAGAAATGAAGAGGGTGGTATGCTCTGATAACATGTTATGTGATAGCTCATGAAGTTCCTCAGACAGATGATAGCTGGGCAAACATCTACCTGATATGGAAAGTCCGTCTCCAGTGCAGAAGGCACGTTCAGCCTTTGAGACAGATCCCTGCCAGCACCGCCTAAGGGGAAAAGCCATTCCTTGCATGGACTTCCAAAACAAGTCAACAGCACGGAAAAGTCCATGCACCTCCCACTGTCTTCTCCAGAGCATCCCACATGTTTTCAGAGATGCAGGTATAACCTGCCTCAGGATGAGTCTGGACTTGAACCCTACAGCAACAAGAGTGACCGATGCTCCAGGAACACACACATTGTCTGTGCAAGCCAAAACATATGGGTTGATACTGTGTGAATACAATTAATGAAGCCCGATGAAGGGAATCAGTTTCAAAGGGGGATATTGCCTAAAGAGATACCTTTGAGGAAGGAGGAATTTTGTTCTTCATTTCTGCCCTCTCATAGTTGCGCACTAAACACTCTTGGCTCAGAAGAAGACTGTGGTTATAGCCCTGACTTCAGGGTCCTGAATGCAAAGGCTCATTTGTGTCCCTCATTCTGGAAGAATAAAGGGAAAAGGGAATGGGAACATGACAATTTTTTTTCCCTTGGGTAACAGCAGCCCCCTTTAATAGTGCCCCTTGAATCTGTAAGACATGCTTGACCAGACATACCTCTGGAAGAGGTCAGCACTCCTGGGATTAAGAAACTTAGCAACGCTCCAGAGAGGGAGTTGGAAAGTCATGTTTAATGATACTTTGCTGAGAAACTGGGCAAATTTAATTAAAACATCACTTACTCAAGCCCAGTGGAACTAATTGAGTGCTCTAATATTCTGACTTTTCATTAATGGGCTACAAAAGAGGGCTGCACTTGTGTGTACAAGGGGGGAAAAAGGGGAGGGGGAGAAGGATATAGAGAAGAGTTTTAGCAAGGCTGCCTGTGTTTCATTTAATATAACCAAGAAACTTCATTTCTGGTAACAGAGCTTTAATACAGTTGACTTCTCTCACCACCACTGCCACCCCCATCCCCTTGACACATACCCACATCTCCCCCCCAACATACACCCTCTCCACCCAACACCCCTCTGAAAGAATAGATGAATAAGCCCAAGTAGATTTGGCAAAGGAAGGGAAATTGCTTTTTTAATAAGTGGCCTATTCAGAGCTCCTACTTTTCAATAAAGAGGAGGCTGGAGAAGTCCTGGTCTAATTACCTCATCCTCACACTAGACAAGCTTGCCCTTTCTTTAGCAATTGAGGTCATATCATATAACTTTGTGAGCCATCATGGGCACAACGTGCTCAGTGATTATTTCATTGGAGGCAGCAAAATTGGAGTCGGCCCATCAAGGTTATAAAAAAACAGAAGTAAAATAATAATTAAGTGAGAACATCTACCAAGAGACATTAAAACTAGGCGGGATAGGATAATGTCACCCTCACAGAAATAAACAGATTGTTTGTCAGTGTGACACCATGGAGAAAATGCCATGTTGACCAGAAGGGTGTAGGGTTGGTTGCCAAATCAGGCAATTAAGCACAGGTCTTTTTTCTGGGTCTCAAGGGAATGTTTATGTGTTTTGCCGTGGTTGGGAGTAATTAGATGGGAAGGATTATATGTTGTTAGGAATCAGTGAGAGAACGCCAAGCTTAGGCTGTATCTTTAATAGGTATTACTCCACTCACTCAGCAAACACACACATGCACATCCATACATATGCTGTAAATACACCAGCATAGGCTGGCTCTGGAGCAAGCTCCCATAGCAAAACCAAGTACTGGACAAGAAAGTCTTTGTCCATTCTCAGCTCAGTCCAAACCAGCCTGTAGCGTAGCAAAGATTTTGGTTCATGTATGTGTGGCTTCACTAAAACATAAAATCTGTGGTTTGGTTAGAGAAAAAACACAGCAGGTGCCGAGTAGGAGTTCAGGACAGCTGGCTTCAATCTCCTGCTCCACCATCAGCTTGCTGCACAACCTTGGGAAAGCCATTCAGTTTGCATCTCAGATCCTGCCTGAAATGGCCATAATCATTTTTTTGGAACTCACAAGGAATTTAACACATTAGAGGCCATAAGAGCAACCTAGTTATATAATATTCAAAACTGTTCAGTTCCAAACTGGCACAAACAAAGGCTATCTGTGCTCCTCCTACATTGCCTTTGGTTCACATCAAATATATATGACTTATTCAATAACCAAACTAATGTGTTTAGACTGTCATAGCATCTCCTGCAAGTCAGTGTTTGGAAAGTCTATATGGTAGCAGTTAGTTGATGAGTAACTTTTTGGAGAAAGATAAGTAGAGGAAACATGATGAGCATCACATTTAACCCACTACCTTCATCAAGGAAAACAACAATAAATTCAGCGAGCGAACCTAGTACTGCCTAGTATGCAACCCTCATCTTTCACCAATGCTGCACTTGCAGTGGGACCAGGAAGAAGGAAGCAAATTGAACCTCATAGTAATCTACACCCAAGTGTAAGCAATGTCAGAGACAATCCATCAACCCCACTAAAGTTAATGCTCAGGCTTCAAATCAGATTTAGTATTTTGAAGCCTGAAGCAAGTGCTTCAGTTCTGACCTTGCAATTACAAAGCCCGCCTCATCTGACTCTTAACATCTGATTATGACCTTAATGACACTATGCTGTGCCATCAGTTTAGGTCCTCGTATCCTGACTATTTAGACATATGTTATCTTAATCTTGGACCACCACCCTCCAAAAACCTTCCTTTTCAACAAGCAGTTTGCCTGGCTTCAATGATAGTATTGTGAATCTGGTGGGCTGCTTGGCTTGCCTTTCAACCAGACCATGGTACAATTATTGTTAAGACCATAAACAGATAAATCCTTTTAATGGCTGCTGCAAGTAGGCAAGGAAAGCTGTCAGACACTAATATCAACTCAACTGACACAGCATGGGTGAACAAAAATAGGAACACTGGATTACTGACCTGCAGAGCAAAGGTCTTTGACTTGGATGGTCATGAGGGCTCCCTGTCTCCAGAAAACCACCATAGTTTATGCTGCTGTTTAGTGCTTAGAAACCACTGCAAATGACCAGAGCCTGACAATGCCAAGTAAAGGGGGGGGGGGGCAGAAGATGCAAGAGACTCCCACTAACTCAGTGGGATGAGCACAAAGGAGGGCAGAAAGAAAGAGGATATTCACTCCCTCCAGCTCACTCTTGGAGTTTTAGCTCAAAGTTATATAGGCAATGTGTAGAGCAGCAATGACAGATAAAGGCATCTAACCTAAATCTAAGACCGGATCTCAGCCATACGTGCATCCTGACTGCAGCTACTGGGGTGGGGAGCATGGGAGTTAAGTCAGATGTGTTGGGCAAGTTATTTAGCCCCACCACTGTGGAAGGGAGACATCCATGGGGTTACGAGAACATGCTAATGGCCCCTCAGGCCACAGCTTTGTAGGTGTTGGCAAGACTATACTATGATGACTCTGGAAAGGGAGAAAAGCTGGGACATCTCACAGCACTATCCAGCATGAAATCACAGCCTCTATGGACCACTTTCTCCATTTTCAGTCCCATCTGCTACACAGACAGCTCCAAAGAATTGGGACAGGCCCTAGGGAACAACGAACCACAAGGATTAAAACAAATTTCCTCACCCTGCAAAGCCTGTTTCACATGTCAAAGAGCTGCAACAGGAGTTCAGAGGCACTGAGCCTTTTAATTCAGAGGCAGAAAAGCTGTCAGCCAAAGCCAGACACCAGCTAAATCCAGGACATGTCTAATCCTGATCTCTGCGCTGTCTAGGAGTATCTGGTGGTGAAGAGAGGGGGAGACATTCTGCTGGCCGGCACTCACTGGTGGCATTCTCCAATGCTCCAACTCCACCATGAGGAATGGCATTTTATGCATACGCACAGGAACAACTGAGCTGGGGTGGCGATTCCTAGAATGCACAACTGGCTGGGCTGCATTTGCCTGGGAAACTAGAGACACAGGTCCCCCCCATCCCAGTCCCAACCATCCATCCAATCACACAGACAATAACAAGGCTGGAAAGTTATTTATAGCCTTACAGTATGTCCCCCTCTGAGGTTGGTGCAATGAAACACTGATCCTAGGCACCTGTGCTGGCCAATCTGCAGAATTTTAGTGTTCAAGCAAATCTAGGCTAGGTACAGCTAAGCAGATTATGGGAGAAGGTGGAAAGTCCCTTCCTTTCCCCTCTCTTGCCTCATAGCCTCATAGGAAGAACATGGCATAAAGAGCAGAAAGTCCTCCAGCAGGGAGGATAAGGATAGCAAAAGGAAACAAAGGGACTATATAAGGTTAGCAAAAGGAAACAAAGGGACTATACACCCAAGCACTATCTGCTGCAAGTCCAGGAGCTCTAGGAAATGTGGAAGGCCCTACCAGAAAACAAGGCAGAAGGGACTTTTTGGACTGAGGTCAGAGAGTAATCTCCAGCCTGGTTTCCTGCCAGCTGTTTGTCCAGCCAGTTTAAGAAACCTTTATGCTAAGGACATGATAGACTTTCCATGTTGTACTGAACTGGTGCAAGAAAAGCATCCCTCAACCTGTGTGTGGCAGCATAACTCCCTTCCTCATGTAAGCCTGAAGAACCTGTCCTTCTTTGGAACCTGCAAAGAACCTTTGCAGCATAAGACCCTCTCCTCTCTATGGAGAGCCAGCAATCTTTATTGCCATCTCATGTTTCCTAGACCTGGACAGTCCCGTTTCTTTCCCTCTGATCTCACCCCATTTTCCACAACTCTTGAAGCACAGTAACAAAACCAGGACATAGTCCGGTAACTAAGATTTCACTTGTCCAGCAGAAGGACAACTCCATGCATTTCCTATCAAACACTCCTTGTTCCCACACATCTTATTGCCCCCCACAATCCCCAAGCAGTCTGCAACGCACCTTCATGCCCACAAGGTTATTGTGGAAGTCCACCCTGGCTCGCAGATCCTTGTTGGGCTTCCTCCCCAGGAACTCCTTGACAAACTTGTTGCTGTATTTCAGGTTGTCACCGCAGCCACCCCACTGCCAAGCCTCACGGTTCTCCAGATCAGGAGCCTCATCGCAGGTGCAACGCTCCATCCGCCCCGCGCTGCATGCCTTGGCCATGGCATGTGTCAGCCCTGCGGAGGAGATGGCGTACAAGAAGGCTGTCTCTTTAAAACCTGAAGGAGAGAGGAGGTGGCAGCTTTAGTTACAGCTGGAGCAAGGGTTAAAGAAAGAGTGAGGAAATCAAGGCAAAATCCAGTGTGAGAAAAACCTGAGTGATAAAACATCATTGTGGTGGAGGCCAAGGAATGATAGATAGAGGTGGCATGAGCCAGGATTCAAGAATGCAAATGAAATCCAGCCATCTCCATAACTGTCACTCTACAATCTCTGCCTGAAAACAGATAGAGGCGAGCAAGAGCTTGACAAGCCATGAAGGTACCATCACCATGGTACAGAAATACTGTGGCCAAAGTGACACCAAATAGTAGGAATCCAGCATAGCCTTCTAGTCTGATGGCTGGGAAAGAAGCCATGAGCACTGCTTGTTCTTTCCACACCCCCTGAAGAAAAAATAATCACTAGGTCCTACTGCAGTTCAACACAGTTGTTAACAAGACACCTGAGGGCTTGGAAGCACACAATAGGCAACCTGTCACAGCACCTCAAATGACTCAAAAAGCAGTTTACCACTCAAGCTTTTAATGTGCAACCCTTTTCTACACCTCCATACTCACCTGCAGGAACGCAGCAGCATCTGATGCCCCCAGTAACTGAGGTCCACAGACCCCCATGATTTCAATCCAAATTATAAAATCCAGAAATAAAAAGCAAACATGCCAGTATTTATAGCTCCTTATTCTCCAGCTATGGAAGCCATAAACGACTGCATATTTGAGATGCAATTCCAGAACAGCTTTGGATCTGACTCAAGAAATCCCCCACTCAAAAATAACACAAGTGGATGGTGACAGTAGTGGATATATCTGTAAGCTAGTGTGTCAACCAAGGACATGCAGAGACACTGCCAGGTCATTTTTGGAACTGTTCCTTGGGAGGTGCATGGTCATCCAAGCAAGCTTACAGGGCACTGCCCTGGCCCATACCCAGAGCCTGCCTTCCCAAAGCACTCCCAGGTGCATGATGTTGAACTTCAGCAGGAGACTGACAAAAATCCAGTCCAGGAGACTGAGGTCTGGTCCTCCCAATCGGGCTGACAAAAAACAGATTGTGGTTGAAGTTGTCCAATCATTCCTATTGCTTACCTGGAAAAGAGAGCAGGAACCTTTCCCTCACTGGAAGGAACACACTTACCAGGACACTCTAAAGAGTGGTCAAGGTCAAGAAAGCAAATTTTGGGGGGTTTCTCCTCCTTGTTTTCTCCCCAGGTTAGATCATGTCCTCTGGCACCCCAGAAAAGCCTTCACCATTGCATATCTCACTGGGAGTGGTGGGAGAAGTCCTTACTTAAAATCACACAATAAAACTCATGGGTGCACAGACCACCAAACTCCTCTAGATAGAAAATGCCTTCTAAGCAGTTTTCGTCTTTTGAAGGCTAGTTCAGCTTTTTCTAGGTTGCACCCTAGGTCAGACTGCCCACATGCCTGCTAAGGGATGCTGATGCTAGGGACAGATGCTCCCGAGCCTCCATTCTCCTGATAGTGGTAGCAAGAGGCCAGTCCTACAGTTTGTGCTATGAAATGGAAGGGCACCAGTTTGCTAATAGAAAGTCCTTGATAGAATAGAGTGTGTAAACCTTCCCCTGAGACACTGCAATTAGCAGCAAACAGCCTGGCTATGGTCCAGTTTAGTAGACAGCCCAGATCAAACCAGGAGGCCTTCAAGTAGGTTGTAGAAGGACTGAATTCAGAGTGATTGTGAAATCTCAGCACCAAGTCAGTGCCAAGCAACCACATTGCATACTGTCTTTGATAGAAAGGCAGGAGGAATGGTTCAGTTGCCAGATTTTCCTCCTCCATGAATCTCCTCATCAGCTTTGCTCTATTCCTCCCATTCTCCATCACCTAAAGCTTCACAGATTCCCAGTGCCCATCAGCACGGGCATCATCTTGCCCACAGCCAGCTCGGGCAGCTTCCAAGCAAGTCCATGTGACATTTGGCTCCGGCCAGATTTAAAGCCATCTCCGCCATGCACTATTTGATTGCACCAAGATATTTTGTAACAAGATAATGAGCTTTAAATCAATGCAGGCATTCTAACCCCCGGTGCATTGACAGCCTGCCATCCGCAGCTATCCAGTTTCAGACATTTCCAAAATTGTTTGTGAGTATCCAAAGAGGATAACAAGTCCCTTAAACAATCCCCTGTTATTTTAAGAAACAGGCTGCATCAGCCCAAGTTGCAAACCAGCAGCCGGGCTGTTCCGGTGACCAAGTGTAAAAATGGAGGGAGAAACTTAAGTGAAATTGGGGGGGGGGGGGCGGGGGGAACGGGGCTGCCTTCCCACCCCCCACCCCCTTTCTCTCCTTTAAAAGCTGCAATGGTCCTGAAGGAGAGGAAGAAAGCCTGCACCAGCATATTTGGATAACTGTGTCTCAGTGGGTGATACATGTGCGCCTTTGCCCTGGGGTATCACTTGCTGCAACGCTGAACCAGGAACCAGCAGCTCCCGGAGAGAAGGAGAAAGATTTACAAGGCAGTGTGTTATGCTGCAGGAACAACTTCTGAAGGATTTACAGCATCAGTGGAGAGCAGAGATGTTGCAGGGGCATAAAACATGGAAGAATGAGACAGCAGGCAGAACCTTGCAACCCTCAGGGTTGTATTTATTACACGAGGTCCTGACAAGGGAGGGGGGTTCTCAAGGGTGTTTTAAGGCAGTTCACATTCAGGCTGCTTTAAAATACCCCTTGCCAAGGGCTCACCACAGGGGCAGGCACGTCTGAAGGAACAAGCTGTGGCCTCCAGGTGTCAGCATGAGAAAGTGCTTGGCTTTCCCAAGACAACACTAATCCAGGGACTCCTCTGGCATGCGGGGCTATTTTTAAATGTCTTGCAGCTCTGGCTGGACCTCTTGGGTTTCATAAGGACTTTCCTTGTTTCCACTGCAATCAGTGACAGTGCATTAGTTAAGCCCTAGCACTTCTGAATTACTCCTCCTCACTAATTAGCAAGGGAGGGAGGGCACTTTGCAAAAATCTGCTCTTATCTTTGAGTACATCAGATCCTGGATTTCTATGTCCAGGTCCTTTGTTGAGCATGGGACTTTCTACAAGTCACTAAAGTCCTCAAGACCCATGCAAGCTATTTGTAAAACGGTCCTGCTGCACCATTAGCTGCAGTCCAGAAATAAAAACTGGATTTTACTGGGAGGGTGCAGGAAACCGGATTATGAGGTAGCACAAAGGAAGGAGATAAAAATATCAACTGGTCCTCCAGTGCTCTCTCAGCTTCTGGTCATCTCCACCTGAGCTGCTGGAAGGGTTGTGGGAATTACCCACCACTTGCATCCAGGGAGCTTTTCCCTGGGTAGAGCAACAACAGAATACAAGCCTTTGCCCATTTTGCCCTGCACTATGATAAGGGTCCCCTTGCCACCACTAACAGGGCAGCACAGAACAATCCATTTTGTTTTATTCCCCTTAAGGCATTTTCTCAACTTCTTTCCTGAGAAGTTAATGCAAGAAATGGGGGTGGGGAAGGACTGGAACAGCTCTGGGAACTTCAACACCTTCCCCTTCAGCAACAGCTCAACTTCCATCAGAAGCAAGAAGCAACTGTAGTTACTGGCAACAGACACATGCATGAACACCTCCAGCCTCTAAGGAAAGAAGCCACGGGAATCAGACAGGGGTTGCTTAAGTGATACGAGCATATACAATACTACCATATAGCACATCTTTTGCTTGGTGTGAATTTTCAAGGATGAGCTGAGCCTGGCTGAGTGGTTTCCTTCTACAAGCTTCTGGTGAGGTGGTGACCCATCACTGGCAAAGGAAGCACCAGGATGACCACCCTGCAAAATGCCAGGGAAGCCAATGTGTGCAGTGGGTGCCAGCACCTTCATCCAAGACCCCCTCACCCTACTCACCTCTCTTTAGCAAGCTGGCCCGATAGCGACCCTCAAGGGTGCAGTTCCAGCGCTCAAAGCGAAACTGGTACTGGCACTCCAGTGCACTCATGCTGATTGCCTCCATCAAGGTCTCAGCCACGCCGGGGTCCCGCCGGCACATCCTGCGCTGCTTCTTCTCCAGCTTCAGGCGGTCACAGACTTTGTAGTGGGCTTTGATGGCAGCTTCCTCCATTTCTGAGGTCAGAGGGAGGATGGTCAGGGGTTCGTTCCCTGTCAGCCTGCAGAGGAAAAGAGCAGCACAGCAGTGAGGATAGAGAAAATACAGCCTGCGGTACAGGTGGGAGCCATGGCGGGCTCTCCCTGGTTGAGCAACCATGTGGGGCTTGCTGATGTCTAGGCAAGGCTCTTTGATGTGAATGTGCAAGGTGGGAGCAAGAGAAGGGTAAGAAACAATATTTGAATTTATGGTCTCTACCAGTTCTCACAGCTTGCTTGGACATAAGTTCTTGGCAATCTTCACCCCAGGACTGTGTTGAAAACTGAAATGCGAAAGAAATGATTGAAGGTACCTAACTGCATGAACTTGGGAAACTAGCAAAAATAAGAGCACTACAGTCACTCTCCTGTGCATAAACAAAAAATCATTTTAGCACATCAAGCAGAGCTAGAACTGGCTTGTAAAGGTATAGAGGATGATTTGTCCCACCAAACCAAGAGACACATCAGGAAAGCATGTATAGCCACCTTGCCTTCAGCAGAATTGATTCTGACATAAAACTTAGTAAGCCACAGCCTGAGGCTTGAGAGCAGGATACACTTGCCAGGAGAATCTGCCAAAAGCTTTTGCAAGGCAGGATTAGCCCAGAAACCTAAAACATGGCCTGAAGAAATGCATGTCCCATTGCCTTCTCCCCTCCTCTGCCTTCTCCAAACACAAGGTCCTTGACTCATACAATGTGCAACAAAAGAAGCCAGCATACTGTTCCCAGTATCAAGTGATGAGCTGCTGGAAGAGGACCAGGCTGGCATCAGCCCCAGGGAGCAGAGAGGCTTCAGAAACATCTGCTGGGCTCATGAGCCGTTTGTTGGCGAGGCTGCCCACACCCCACTCTCCTGGCTCTGTCCTTTTCCGGCCAGGTGCCAGTCCACACAGTCAATGGGAATCACTATGCAGGGTTTCGAAGGACCTGAAGACGTTTCCCAAGCCAAAAAGGAAGAATTGCTTAAAGCCTGAATTGAAAACATGCTGCAATCCTGCACAGGCGAGCATGTGGATGGGCCGCAGGTTCAAAAATCTCCATTGCTGCAGAACCACTGGGGAAAATGGGGTGATAGGCACAAGAGGGGAGCACACACTCACCCCCCTTCACTGAATGTAGAAGAATCCTGAAAGCATTTAAACCCCCACTCAGTGGCAGTTCGTGCTTTCTTTTTTAATGACAATTTCTCTCTCTTTGCCTGTCCCTACCTGCCCCTTGTCAAAAGCCCCTCTCCATCTTTCTTGTCAGCCCTTTTAGGCACTGGCAGCTGCTCTAAGGTCTTCTCAGAGCCTTCTCTTCTTCAGGCTGAAGAAGCCCGGGTCTCTCAGCCTGCCTCCACGGGAGAGACTAAAAAAACAAGCAGGGAAATATTCTCTTTCAGTTACCTTCAGGTAATTTCTGGAAATTAGGATTTCCAGAAAAACTGCAATGGTAAAAATGAAAAGTTGGTGATTTGTGGGGAACATGGAAAGCTAGTGTTACCCAGTGAAGAACTTCCAAAAAATAGTTCTTCCCCAAATTCTGCTCACCAGAAAAATTATAAAAATATCCAAAAGGCCAAAGAGCAAGCTCCATCTGAAGCACTGTCAAGTTTTAGCCATTATATTTTTTGCTCTGTTTCAACTCGGACAGTGTGTGGATTTGGTCACAACTGCTTCCCAAGGAGATAGGACATCATCCAGCCCTGGCACCTTGTTAACCAAAGCTCCAAGCAGGCTTGTTTGTGAAAAAGGTGGCTTGGTCTGAGCTTCGCAGTGGTAAACAGCTGTAATGAAATCTCCAGGACATTCATTCCTGGCTTTCATCAATTCTTCTGCTCTGGAGATTCATTTCTGCAAGCTTTCACAGTTGGCACAAGAGATACCCTCAGATGGCAAAGACAGAGGGAGGCATAAGAGCAATTTCTACAGCTCCCCCTTCCCAGTTAACCTGTCCAACTAAGCAGGTACTGTTCAGCTAAGGATTCTGGAAAACATAAGCTCCAAGTATCATGTAGCAGATGCCTACTGCAGTGAGGAGAGATACAGGAATGGATTCTGTAGAAAGATCTCTGCAGAGCAACTGCTGATTTTGAACCCCTTCCCCATCTTCCCTGTTAGGTGTTTGGCATTGAAATACTTCAAAGTATGGCTTCCCACAAGATCAGCCCTGCAAAAGTTGACGATGGCGCAGCCCAATTGCATGTATCTCCAACAGAAGACATCTAAATAAAAAACGAAGAGCGAGGAATAGGGAGAAGAAAGAAAAACAGAATTTGCAGTGCTGCACAATACCAGAGGATTGGCCTGCAACAGCCACTCTGAATGGTTGGGAAGCCTTGAGAAACAACAGAAAATTGAAGCATTAAACTAATTGTCAGCGATGTACATTTTCACCGCTTTCTACAAAAGGCTTTGGTAGGAGCTCACCTAATATCTGTGACACATTGACAACAGCCAGAGTGAGCTGAGAAGCAGTGCCAGCACACCTTTCATCCCTTCCTGAAAAACACACCCAAAAGACACCAAGACAATGCCCTGTAAAAGCAGAATACACCTTTTCCCACCCCCCATTTCCCAGCTCAACTCTGCCCTGTCCTCATGCATCAGAGAAAGGGACTTAAAAGTCCAAATTAGTAAAAAATGCTGCATATGCAGTGCACGTGCTGAACAGACACATCACCACTGCCTGGTCTACTGCTCAGACTAATTTCACTGGCTTTCAAGCTGATCTGAATCAGAGTGAGGCAACTATACTAGGAGAGCATCTCCAGATAGAGACAAGAAGTAAATTTAGAGGAAAGAGGCTTTTACTAGCCAGCAAGCAATGAAGCTCTTCCAGGCTAAGACCTCCATGAGCAAAAGCAGTATATGTGCATGCACACCCATACATCTCCCTCCTTAGCACTGGATGGATGCCTATTTCGGCAGCGAGGGGACCAATGCAGCAGCCTTAGCTCTGCAGACATGTTCCAGGGGTGAGGTGGCACTTTTCAGAGCATGGCACCAACAAACAAGTGCAGGCAGAGCCAAGGGAGCGCCTGTGCCCCACCTGACACATTGCCTTGGAGCTGCCGCTGCATGGAACCTTTATAATCCTATAAAGCCCTTTTATGCAACCTAGGCTGAGTGAGGTCCTGTAAGGCAATGGTGTCAGTCTGATGCTTTCTCAGCACCTCACAAAGACCAAGCTGTTCTTTCCAAGGAAATTTTTCAGGAAGGGGGGGTGTTTTTTATTTTATATTTTATATTATTTTATTTTATACACACCCTACCCACAACTGTTGGGATTAAACTGCCAGCCAGCACTCTGCAATTGTGTTATTTTGGAGTCTCTGCCACCCCACAACTCACACCGATAGCTGAATAGCCAAATTTTATCTGTAGCACCATGGAAATATTGCTCTTCCAGAGAGGCAATTCAAACTGAATCCTGCTTTCAGCTCATCTCAGAAGTCAAGATATTTTATTGCCTCATCAGTTCACACTTCCATCAGTGTCCCTGTATTTTCCCTTTTTTAACTGGGGATTTTCCCAATGAGAATTTGAGGGGGATGAGACAGAAGTAAGGCGCCTGCATAGACCTGTGAGTGCATTCTCGTTTTTGACATGCTCAAGAGTTTCGTTTGCAAGTGCCGCCAGAGATGCGAGCCAAGGTGAGCTGCTTTCCTGCAAGGAAATACCTCTGCTCTACCCGCCTGGAATGACAGGCCTGCTGAAATATTGCATTCCTATCCCGGCACTTCCTTCTCTGTTGGGAGGTTAATCTTTGGTACATCTGTACAATGACCAAATTGATTTCTATTTTCCCTTCTTACATTAAAGTTTTCTCTGCAATATTGCTGCTCTTCAAACCCTTTTCCTTCTCTTTCCAACTCTTCTTTCTTTTAATAATTAAAAAGTTACAAAAAGTTTACAACTTAAACACTGACCGTCACTGCAATACATAAATTAATAATTCAAATCAGTGCTATGCTGCACACCAGGCCTACATTTCTTTTGTATCCAACAACCTGGAGTTGCCATCTCTCCCTCACAATAGCTCTCCCACACTGTGAAGTTTTCACCCATTCCACAAAGGCTATTTGAAGTGCAAGAAGCCAAAAGTCCAAGAAAATTCTGAATTCCATGGCAAGTGATGAAAATTTGGTATTTGGAGCAAGAGCTGGCCATTGAAGAACCACCTACCTCATTCTGCACTATGTTTGGTTTTTTAAGTGTTCAGAGATACCATTGTTGTGCTCACACTAACTCAACACCCTTTGGAGGAAACCAGCCTCAGTTCTGCTCCTCCCCAAGTTATCAGGATCATAGAATAATTAGGGTTGGAAAGGACCTTAATATCATCTAGTTCTAACCCCCCTGCCATGGGCAGGGACACCTCACACCAGACCATGTTACCCAAGGATCCCCAACGTCATGTGGGAGAAGAGGCAGCTTTCTTCTCTTTGCTACTAAATAATTAGTTCTCTACTTTCTTTCTACGCCTTAAAGTCAGATCTAAGTATACTTGCTCCAAAATACATTGCTCACCCCAGCATTCAGGCATTCATGTTTATTGCTGCCTTGCTTAAACCGCAAACTCCAGAGCCACAGATGCTAGGTTTTAAATTCTTTACCATTCTGAGCTAGAAAGCCAAAGGTTTCCTACTTTGATTAATGCATACATGTGCAAAAAAGAATGCATATCCCATCAAGTCCCTTCAAAAAATAAGGCAAGGCATTCTTCAAACCTCAGCAAGGATTTCTTGGCTTCCACAATATCCTGCCATCTCAGCAAGTGTTAAGTCACTTCATGAAAATTGCTCTGTTAGAGTTATTCACTTCTATCCTAACCCTTCCTCAGTGTAGTTTTTCCACTGATCTCCTCTGGATTGGTAGTATAACACTGTGGGAGTCATGACAGGAGGATAATTGTTTCTCCCAGCCCAAGATGTAGACCATCTTTACAGGGCAGAGCTGAACAGCCTACACTCCACCTAGAAATCAAAAACGTTTGCTAAAACTCTATCTATGCTGGCAGTTTAAAAGGTTTCCTCC